AATCGACATCAAACTGCTTAGCACTCTTGAATCTGTAGTAAATCGCCATGGATTCAGCTACAAGAGAAAACGCGCGATGAGAATTAAGAGAGAATTCTTTCACCTGCGAAAAGAAACAATCAACTAGCCTATTATTATAAACTAGTTTAGTCCTCCTCCGAGTAAGGAAATTAAGATAATGTTCTAAATTGAAAGATTTGAACTTTAAAAAAATAAAAAAAAATTGGAGCGGTCTAGTAAGTCCCAGCTAGAAAAAGCGAAACTATCAAATAGATAGTAGTTCATTCAGCGGCTGGGACTCGGGGTTGAACTTCGCTACAGACCGAAAACCTAATCCTGTCTAGTTTAAACAGAATTTCACCTTTATGTTCGGATTGAGATCCTCTCCTATTGACGGGTAATTAGAGAGCGCGTTCAATTTTCTCCGTCATTTCGCGGTCATCTCAGTTCAACGCGATGAGATCAGCACCACGCTAAATTTTTCACTATCACAAATTAGTTGGTTGTAAAAACTATAATAGGTTTCATGGTTTAATAGTGGTTTTTTCAAGATCTACAGAAAAATGTTCTCACCCATTGGGAAGCCGACTATGACGGTAAATAAATATAAAAAATCTCTACTATCCGGTAATGCATTGAGAAAATTTGACTCTCTTCAAATTACCACCTAATCGGAGAAGATGCCAAATTATTTAGATTATTATTTCAGTTACTTTTATATTAGTCCCCTTATATCTTCAACAATTCTGTTTTAGCCTTCAAATCTTGAAATGCGACCACCACAAGTCCCTCAAATCCTAAAGAAGCTTATGATTTCATTCCTCAATGGCACCAGATACCCCCCACCTTATGTCTCCCCCTTATGTGTTCAATAAACAATTAATGAGGGCCATATGGCTACTGCAGGACCACATTAGACCTTATCCCCCCCACTGTCAAGAAATATTAAATGAGCGTATGCAGAATTGTTATGCCCCCCCCCCCCCCCCCCTTTCAAGCAGGGCCATTTTTTTATCTCGCATTGCTCGCACATGCAGAATAGAATTCAGACCATCCATCAGCGATCAGTGACACGGCTTTAGTGTGTGACCTATTGGACGTCCCTAGAGCGTCTATAGGTATAAAGTAAACCGGGCCAATTCTAATTAAATCGCGGAATTCATATTGTAGGGTCATTGAACAAGAAAATTGAGAATGAAATTCGTAATGATTTAACAATCGGGAATTAATAGATACTCATTATGGAGTTATAATATTTATACAGCTATTTTTTAAAGTAAACTAGTTGAGATGCACGTGCAATGCACGCGATTGAACTAATCAATGATGTTAGAGATTACACATGCAATGCACGTGGTATGAATATCATGAATTATTTAAATTTAAAAAAATAGAGTAAAAATAAAAAAAATAAAGTTTTTTGTGGGATTGATCAACTCACTAATCTCTCTCAAAATAAATATATTATCATTGTTTCCTTTCAACCAAGACTGTGGGCTGCGTGATCTACAGTTTTTTGAGTTATAAAACATAAATTAACACAATATCTCTATTTATTAGTATCTTGAAGTCTTCTAAAAGATGGGTGCTGATCATTCAATTCGCAAAGATTTTGCCATATGATTTACTTGCCCAATATGTCCATTAAACTTTAGTGTGCGTTCTGACTCATATTCATATAAACTTTTAGTTATATTATTGCTCATATTTTTATATTATCTAATGATTGTCATTTCAATTTTATAGCTCATTCTCTGTATCATAGAAAAAAACTAAAATATGAAGAATTATTTTCTTGTGAAAAAATTTAGAACATGGAGATTAATGATATACTTCGCATGTGCTCTAAATGATTAAAATTTTTTTCTTTGATGCTAAGTCCCTATTACAAATCTTACTTCAAATGAACTCCGCTGGATGTGAATGCCAAAATGTTATTATAATTCACTTGGTCTGTGACAATTTATTTTATATAGGATTTACATAACCTCGTCTAGAATATCCATATTTTCCTAAGTGGATTTTTGCGGATGTTATTGAGAGCAACATGTTAGAGACTCATATTTAAACTTTTTGGCTCTATAAAAAGACACAAAATTTTAGAGTGCATTAGCATTATAGTATCGTAAAAAAAGGCATATTAATTATGAATATTTTCCAAAGAAGAAGAAAGCTAAGGACATGTTTTATTCTTTGATCGGAAATAAGTTATGCCCAACACAAATCTTTACTTCAAAACGTTTTTATAGAACTATTGTAATCTTGTTAGGTCTCATGTTTATGAGTCTATATCTCTAATCTTGTTTTGATGATTTAACCAACAATTCCTAACATGATTGTCGAGTGTTTACATGTCCATATTAGGTATCCTACACAAAGATCCATGTTGGAGGTTGGTTGGATTGCACCTACACGATTATATCAATTGGAGGATGAAAGGAATATCGGAATGAAGCAATTCGCAATTCAAGTCAAAAATTAAAGTTCAAGCTTCATCCATGTTTACGAAGGCGAGCTTAATTAAAGATCAAGATTGCTTGGGTATAGTTTTTATAGTTTAGGGTTTATACTTGTGTGTTAATACTTAGAGCTCAATCTTATACACACATACACGTTTTGGTTTTATAGTTTTCAAGTTTGAATAAGAAACAAATTTAATTATTTATATACATACATACATGTTTCATATTTATCATTTTTAGTTTTCGTAACCAATGTGTTTAGCCACATAAACGTGAAAACTCAATACACGTATATAAATATATTTTCATGTTTATATGTGCTTATGATGATTTTATTAATCAACAAGTTTAAAATCAATAAAATCATGTTTATTTGCAAAAATATGTGTTTATGGATTAAATACAAAATTACACCATTTTATATCTTTTCCTAAGTTCTTTAATCCATTCAAAATGAATATGCAAGTTTGTTTGTCAAAAACATGTGTTGTTAAGTTTTCATGTTTTTGGATTATTTTATAAAATAAAGAGATTTCTCATTTGGGAAGTGAAAATTGAAAATTTCTTTTTGTAGCATGTTTATTTTCATGTTTAGAATTATTTCCCAAAGTTTTATATTTTTTAGAATTTATTTGCTATTTTTAAAGACACTTCAAAACTCAGTTTTCAAATATGAACAATGTCTATGCATGTTTATAAGTCGACTTATGTACTGTAACTAGTTGACTTATGAACTATTCTGAAAAATACAATTTTCATCTGCTGAGTGGACTTATACTCCAAGCAAGTCGACTTATATATGATAAGTCGACTTATGAATTTTACAAGTCGACTTATGATCTGTTGTGCAGCTTGTTGTTTTTGTCTGTTGAGTGGACTTATAACTCATACAAGTCGACTTATACCCTGTCGTAAGTCGACTTACAAACTAGCCGTTGTACAGTAACGACTATTTTCCATATTTTATTTATTTTATTGTTTTAATGGGTTTTTGTGTATTTCTTTGGCTGGTTTCTTCTACCCTATATATGCCCAATTGCATTTAACATTCCATACCACTAAGAGAGTTTTAAAATTAAGTTTAAGGGTATTTAAGTTTGGTTTAAGTTTGGGTTTCAAGTTTATTTATGTGAAGTGATTTTCACAAGAGGAAGAAGAGATCATCTTTTCATGTTTGGGCTTCAATCTCATCTCTTTCACTCTTGTTTTTCAGAGAAGATTTCTTAAACTCAATCTCTAGCTATTTATAAGTATTGGATATCATTTTTATAAGCTAGATTTCAATTGAGTTTATATTACTTGTTATCTTTCACACACAACCACTTAAGTATAAGTTATTATCACACATTGTGTAATTTGGGTTGTGGGTGTGATTGAGTGAGCTTACACTTAGTTCTCATATTGTATTAGATAATAAACCATTTGTTATTGTGCTCAATTGTGAGATACACTTTATAATACACTTGTACATCGAGAGAAGTGTATGATGAGAGACGGGATCGATTCCAAGAGGGATGGCATCGGTAGTAAAGCCTAGGGAGAGCTAGTAAATCTGAGCACATGAGGAAGGCGACACGGGCTATGCCAACACTTAGAGGGTGTAGAGTGTGATTGTAAGAGTGTGAATTGTGAAAGTTTTCGGTGAGCTAGAAAACTGATTGTGAGGTATAAACGTTTTGGGTGAACGTTGAAAACCCGTTGTGATAGTGGATTCTTCCCGGGAGTGGGGAATGGAGACGTAGGTCGGAAGGACCGAACTCTGTGATTATTATTTTTTTGTGTTTGGATTGCTCATTTGTCCACTATCTTGTTTATATCATTTCATGTTTATTTGCCCTTAGTTTTCATATCCTTGCAAATAATTCATTATATATCAATCTTACCAGGATATATTTGTTAATAAGTTTTAATTGACATTAATATCGGATTAGATTAGCATTAACCCTATTCACCCCCAGGGTGCTTTCAATTTTGTGTTAGATTGTTATAAATGGTTTGTTATCAGAAATGCATGAAATATTTTATGGAGTCTCAGTATATCTAGCCAATTCTCTTGTAAAACTTTTTCATATTACTTTTTTTATATGATTTTAAGTCCATGTGTAAAATGATCAATGAGTAGAGCTGTAGAAAGAACAATTGCAGCGTTATTCAAGCGACTCAAGCGTATTGATCTCAAAAGAGAGAATTATTAAGTAACATTTGCAATATCATTTAATAGGAAATATGCATGCATATATCAAGTAATATCTGAAATATAATCAATAGAATTATCAAGTAATATCTGAAATAGTTGATTCTGAGTTAGATTTACTACAACATTTCTCAATGTATTTGAATAAAGACTTATTTATGGTCACGGATCAATTAGTTGTACTAAATCTCCGATAATTTTTTACAGTTATTAGGAAAGAAAAAGGGAGAAGTGAAGGGTTTTATGGAATTGAGACAAGTCTTATAATAATTTGGAAATAAGTCAGTAAAAGCTAGAAAGAAAAAAAAAATAAAAATAAAAATCCGAAGCTCTTTATGCAAATCAGCAATTTGTTTACAACTCTCTGCAGCCATTCCATACCCCTCTCTTACCCACAAAAACGAGAGGAGGGAAAAAAAAAAAAAAAATTCTAGGTGCAGCTAATCATCCTCGTTGAGGAGCACAAACGCCTTCGCTTAAAAGCAAAATCTTCTCCTTCTTCTTCCCCCGTCTTCAGGTCATGCTGCCTCTTAATGTTTTTTGCAGACTCCAGCATGGACGTTACAATGTCCCGTAAAGTCTTATTTGGAATGAAGTCCTCGGCTAAAACTCTAGGCGCTCCACACTCGCACGTAGAATCGACACTTACATGCTCGCGGATGCCTGAAAATTTTGCAGATGAACAACATTATAGCTAGCTAGATAGAACAGGATCGACAAATAGGTGAACGCACGAGTGCAATATGTGCCCTTAACAGAAAGCATGACGCGAAGTCACAATTAAACTAGGCCAGCTAAGGGTCATCCTGCAGTACACGTACATTTATCGCAGAAACTTCTGAAACAGCATTTTCTGGCGAAGACGGCGTTTTCCATAACTTGTTTGCACAGCGGGCAGCATAATTCTGGCAGATCTCCCACGGTTAAGGCCGGCTTCGAAACCTCGGCTTGTGCCCTTTTAGCATCACCTCTTGAATCCGAACACGACGGAGGAGAGTGCTGAATACAGCCCCCTGATGCTGCTGGCTTCTCGGCACGCTCAACAATAATAGGCTTTCGAGGCAGGCCTGGGACTCGCCGAATTAGGACCGCAGTATTCCTGAATATCGCCGAACCTTCGTCAAGGTACTCTGAAATTGAAAGAAAAACGCGCAAATGATGTCATGATTAGAACAAAATAAATTAAGGTGGAAATAGAACTATTTGTGTTTCTTAATCAGGGAGAAATTATGCAGCTTAATTACCTTCGTTGGTTTGTGCATTGGTAATTAACAGGTCGAAATCAGTCCCCCTCTCCAAGCGTTTGCGTTCGAAAACCTTTCGTTTGAGATTGGAGACGGTGATGAAGAGCCCTTCGACTGGAATCGAATCAAACTGCTTAGCACTCTTGAATCTGTAGTAAATCGCCATGGATTCAGCTACCAAGAGAAAACGCGCGATTGAGAAATTAAGAGAGAATTCTTTCACCTGCGAAAAGAAACAATCACAGCCTATTATATAAACTTAGTAGTCCTTCTCCGAGTAGGAAAAGATCATGCTTCCTAATTGAAAGATTTGAACTTTAAAAAAAAAAAAAGGAGCGGTCTAGTAGTCCCAGTAGAAAAAGGAAACTATCAAATAGAGTAGTTATCAGCGGGCTGGACTCGGGTTGAACTTCGTACAGACCGAAAACCTAATCCGTCTAGTTTAAACAGAATTTTACCCGTTACTGTTTGGATTGGGATCCTCTTCAATTAGATGGTAACTAGAGAGGGTCCAATTTTCTCGGTCATTATCTCTCATCTCAATTTCAATGGATGAGATCACACCACGTAAATTTTTTCACTATCACAAATAGTGGTTGTCACTATAATAGGTTTCATGTTTAATAGTGGTTTTCAAGATTACAAGAAAAATATTCTCACCCATTGGAAGCGACATAGACGGTAATGATTGAGAAAATTTGACTCTCTCAAATTACCACCTAATCGGAGAAGATCCAAATTATTAGATTCTTATTTCGGTTACTTTGATATTAGTCCCTTATATCTTCAACAATTTTGTTTTAGTCCTTCAAATCTTGAAATTGCACTCAAGTCCCTCAAATCCTAAAGAATCTTATGATTTCATCCCTCAATGACCATAATATCCCCCACCTTATGCCCCACCCCCCTAGTGTTCAAGAAACAATTAACGAGGGCATACTGGGCATTGAGGGACCACATTAGACCTTATCCCCCCACCACTGTTCAAGAAATATTAAATGAGCGTATGAGCAATGTATTGGGGTGAACCCGTCGTCGTTTGACCCTCCATCGAGCCATGTGAAAAGTTCTATTCATTCAAAACCGTTAAAATTGATACGAGTGGATGAATGGTCAAACGACGACGGGTTCACCCCAAACTTGATATGTTGGGGTTTTAGAATATGTAGATCAAGTTCAACGGAGCGGATCATCCATAATGTCGCTCAATCATGTGATTTTAGAGGCGCCATAGGAGGAAATCCCCTCCTATGACAAGGATACCCATTAATCTCATATATATATATATATATATATATACTTTCCTTTATAACTAAAGGAAAACCTATGGATGAACAGTATTTTTTGATTTTCCACGTATTTTCCTATAATTTTGATTTTCCACGTATTTTCATATAAAAAAATAAAAAACAAAAACTCATCTAATCGCTTAAACACAACCGTTCATTTTGGTCCAATTATTATACACCGATAACGCTTCAAACCACCTCATTTTACCGCTGCCGCTTTTCCTTCAAAACCGATACCGCTATTTTTTTTAACTTCGTTCAAATTAGCCACGTTTTGAAATTTGATGACACGTTGCTAAATTTCTATGCTAAAGAGGGCCACGTTCCACCGCTTCTTCCACCGCTTCAGAGTTCATCTTCCGTATGGTCTCAGCGAGAGTTCTTCTTCAGGTAATAATTTTCTTTATTATCCTAGATATTAAAGACCTATTAATAATATCTTATCGATTTCTTCTGCAATTTATTCTTCCGCATGATAGCTAAAGATTTCGTCAATGATTTTGTTAAAATTGATGCTGTGAAATATTCATAAATTTCAGCTTCTACCTGATAAAACATGTTGTGAAAATTATTTCACCTTGTGCTCATCATACAGTATAACTTAAGATTTAAATCATTCAAGTATAATACTATAAGCTCCCTTCAAATTTATATATTTGATTTTCCTATTTAAAATTTTTAATGCCTATGACATGTAAAGCAAACTAACTTGAGTATGATTTGTGCAAAAAAATTACATCTGCAATTCATTTTTTTAAAATTTACCTGGTCATTCTTTTTATGCATCTGTATTGAAAAGTGAAGAGTTTAGGAACCGAAATCAAGTTATTGAGTTGCTTTTTTTAAACCTGAATCCATGAATTTTATTTACTCATCCAAGCTCATCTCCAGGAAATTTTTCTCTTACATGAACAACATGCACAACAATATCCAACAGGCAGAGCATTCAGACTGACTTCCATTTCAATTTTCATGTTAATAAATATTGGATTATATGTATTGGTTTTTTCTTTTTCCAACTGTTTATAATTGATTTATAAACAAACTCATTATACAGTTATGAATGTCGTCGACATGTCATAGGTGAATAAAACTCAGATTATAGTGAATTTCGTTGACATGTCATAGATGAATAAAACTCAGATTATGACATTATGTACTATATCTGAGCTTTAGCTATTTTTACAATTTTGTAACTCAACAATTTAAAAGATTTACTGTCATTAATTTATATAGGTTCTTGCTTAGACTTGAATTTAGACCTCAGTAAATAGATTATATGTTTGAGCTCATCTTCAAGTACTGCTCAATATCTATGAAGGAAAAAATCTTTTAATGTAAGTACATACAATTGAGTTACAAAATTATATTTATTAATGCCAGTACATATAATTCTTGCTCTTACCACGTGATTATATTCAATTGTACCTTATAGAAAATGGCATAATCTGAGTTGAATAGAACTAATTGTTTTCATATGAATCTATTCTACAGTGCAACAACGTGATTTTAAAGTACTGATCAATATCTCAGTCCGTGAGGAGTCCATCATTGTAAGTATATATTGAAATTTAATATTGTCTCGAGATTGTTGCTCCCATTTTATTTGTTGCTGCCATTAAGGAACAATTGTCCTGCTTATCCAAAAGTTTCTATATCAAGGAATCTATTCCAGTCACCTGCTGCATTGCTTAGATGTAGAAATTGCTTTGTAAATACAATAATTCTTGAACATATCTAACGTAGTTCTACCTTCATAAAACCAGTTTCTGTGGATAAAAATATGAACCGCCAGCAATAATTTTTTAAATCTGCTCTTTGATCCCTAACGCCAGCAATAATTTTTTAAATCTGCTCTTTGATCCCTAAAGTGCCTAAATACAGTTATATGGATGCTTTGCTATATATCATTATGAACTGATGAAAGTAGGATGGATTTTACCCCACATGTTTATTAGCATATATCATTATGTACACGCTTCAATTCCCTACTCTGTGATTGGTTCATCTGCAATAAAACGAAGTAGATATATGCAAATTGGAAACTGCAGCGAGGAAAATGTAGGGTTACCTACGATCTCAAGAATGGCCAAATATTTTGATAAGCCGCATCGCTATTACTGATGAAACTAGGAGTTAATGTTTGATCCGCCAAAGTTTCTCTTTCGCAAATTTCTTTTATATACAAAGAAAATCTGGTAATTCTTTTTGCATCATTATTGCAAACTGAAGAGTTTAACCACCTTAAACAAGCTATGTTCTAGCTTTTTTTAAACCTGAATCCATGAATTTTATTAACTCATCAAAGCTCATCTCCAGTAAATGTTTCCTGAACATGCGGAACATGCACATCCATATCCAACATGGACAACATGCAGATTGAATTCCTGTTAAATTTTCAAGTCAATAAATACTAGATTATATGCACTGGCTTTTCTTTGCCCATCTGTGTTGAATTGAATTATAAACAAACTCATTATATAGTTATGAATTTCGTTGATATGTTTAGATGAATAAAAAAAGATTATGACATTCTGTACTTTATCTGAGCTTTAGCTTTTTTTACACTTTTGTAACTCAACAATTTAAAAGATTTAATGTCATTAATTTATACAGGTTCTTGCTTAAATTTGAAATTAGCCATCAGTAATTAGATTACATGTTTGAGCTCATATTCAAGTTTCTATTCCGCCTGATAGTTCAAGATTTCATTGAGTTCTGAACTATTACTTTCATAGTCCTCCCAAAATTGTCATCCAAACATTAGCACATTGAATTCAATTTCAATTTCATTTGAGTGATTGAGCAGATATAAAGTATATATATAAATTCCAATCCATTTTCATTTTCATGTAAATAAATACTGGATTATATGTAGTGGCTATTCTTTGTCCATCTGTGTTAAATTGAAATCTTCTTGGTTATTAATTATTAAAGGAATTCATTTATATTTAAATCTCATTGTAACAACTTAATTTAACCTGATAGTTAAAAAAGAATATGAACATGCTAATACTTACAACAAACAAATCCCTATCATTTATGATGAAATGCTGAATCACCATCTGCAGGCTAAAACTACCCAACATGCACATTTTATAAGTAATGAACACGGACAATTTATGATCATTGTAATTATCAATTTTACTTTAGAGAAAAATGGATGATCTCATTTTATATAAACTTATTGCCTTAATATGACTATATTCTGCAGTGCAACATCGTGTTCTCAATGTACTGATCAATATCTCAGATTACACTAGGAGTTCATCATTGTAAGTCTATTATCAAATTCATATTCTTTTTTACCTATTATCTTAAAGAATGTTGTTATAATGTCAAAACATACTGCATTATGACTCTGTTTTCTATTAAAATCTGTTTTTAATTGGAATCTTCTTTTTGGTTAACTGTTTAATTATTACATATTGAGATAAGTTCATCATATGTACATAGATGCTTGGATTATGACTATCTTATTGTTTTATACGATTAGCAGATGTAATACTGAGTTATCATATTCTCCATAAATATGATATATGATTTTATATTTCTATGTAACTTATCTACAAGTATATTTTCTTTTGGTTTTTGTTCTTATTATTGTTCATAAAGCTTGATTAGTAAGAATGTATGCTATTGATATGCATATATGTTCTTATACATATATATACAGACATTCACATACGAATAGAACTCAGTTTCAGGAGTATGGAGAGCAATGATGATGACCATCATCCTAATTGTCTAGAAGTCATATACGATGCAACGTTAGTTGTATGCAATACACAACAATGCACATCTATCACTCAGTCATCTGATGAGGATGTTAACCTTATGTGTAGCACATCTGGAACTGGATATACACAAATCAATTGTCAGAAAACACCTACAGAAACATATGCAAGAGCTTTCTCTGTTGATGAAGCTAAGTTGACTCGTGAAGTTGAACAGAGTTTTATAGGTTTGTGATGATAAATCATGTTGTGCATCTATAAGTTATGTGTGTGTGTGTGTGTGTGCGGCTGTGGGAGAGATTTGAATGATTTATAATTATTAGTTTTGCTTATTTCATATTACAGATAAACGATCTAAAAGACAACGACGACGACATAATATGTATGAAAGTAATTCTCCAAACATACATAATAGGGATCATAATCAACTTATAGGCCATACTTCCTCAAACCTGTCCAGCAGATGTTCATCATCCCATACATCATACAAATCTAAACGTGTAAAAAGTCTATTGCCAAATGAAGGTATGCCTGCATTCATCGTATTATTCAATATTAAAATACATACAATTAAGTAATTATAGTAATGAGAGATATTGCTTGCTGAAGGACTTTTGAATGACATTCTCAACGTCGGGCCCCCAAAATTCACTTGTCCTCACTGTAAGACAATGCTTTGGTATGACGAAAGAGCTGAAAAGTCTAAGAAACATAAGAAGCCCACATTCCCACTATGTTGTCGTAAAGGGAAAGTAAAATTCCCGCTTCTTCAACAACCTCCAGAATTCCTTAAACTACTCTTATCACCATCTGGAGGAGCACGTTCTACAAATTTCAAACAAAATATAAGGATGTACAACTCTTTGTTTTCATTCACCTCGACTGGAGGAAGAGTTGATAATACTTATAATAATGGAGGGGGTCCATATTGTTATCGCTTGAATGGTCAAAATCATCATAAGATAGGTTCTCTAAAACCTATACCGGGTGAAAATCCAAAATATTGTCAACTATACATATACGATACTGATCACGAGATATTCAACAGAATGGCAGCAATTAATGGTACTGATAAATTAGATGATGCTATTGTAAGCGGTCTACTTACAATGTTAGATCAGTGCAATGTGTTGGTACAAAGTTTTCGTATGGTGCGAGACCGAGTCAAGGAAAATGAGTTACTGACAGTACAATTGATAATTAAATCCTTACGCAGCGGTGATGGAAGAATGCAGAATATGCCAACTGTGTCAGAGATTGCAGGTTTAATTGTGGGAGACATTGATGAAACAATAGCAGTGCGGGATATTGTTGTTTATGATTGCAAATTGGGGTTGTCTAGAATTAGTGATCTTCACCCAAGTTTTATGGCCATGCAATATCCTTTACTATTCCCGTATGGTGAAGATGGATTTCGACTTGGCGTTCCATTGGTAGGAGAGTCTACTAATTCAAATTTGAAGAGAAAAGAAGTCACTATGATGGAATATGCGGCATTTAGGACCCAACAAAGGTGTGATGAAGGACATACATTGACTCTGTCAGGGAAACTATTACAGACTTACATTGTAGATATGTTTACTTGTATTGAAGAAGATAGATTGCTATGGGTCAGACTAAATCAAACAAAACTTAGAGCGGAGCTGTATTATGGCATTAAAGATGCAATATTCAGAGGTGATACATATAGAGCACAAGTTGGGAAGAGAATTATCTTGCCTTCATCGTTTACTGGAGGTAATCGATATATGACACAAAATTATCAAGATGCAATTGCTTTGTGTCGTGTTTTAGGAAATCCGGATTTGTTCATCACAATTACTGCAAATCCAAAATGGCAAGAGATTAAATATGCATTGGACGAGATAGGGGGCCAAAGGCCAGATGAGAGACCAGATATAGTTGCAAGAGTTTTTAAAATAAAGTTTGATCTATTGATGGAAGACTTGCAAGCTGGTCAATATTTTGGGCATAGCATTGCGGATATGTATATATATGTATTTTTAGTTTCTACTCATAAATACAAATATAAAAATATGTAAAGATAACTCGCGGAAACTAAAGCACACTGTTTAAGAATAAACTAAAACCAAATACCCAAAATAACTCAAATTAATGAATCAATATAAAACATAAAACATTAGAAACTAAAGCATTGAGAAACAATTGAATTAATTAACAAATTTGAAAACTGAATAAAAGATATAACTCAATACAACACATATGGCAAGCTTACATAGTACATCAGAAACAAAATGCACTAATAAATTTATAAAAAGTAAATCATATGGCTAAATATAACTTATGATACATCAACTGTCTAATTTATGCATTGTGATACATGAACTTTTATAACCCAAAATTCAAAAAAACTTCAACAATATTTGTAAGGTTAAAAAAATTACTCAAACTTGACTAAAATTAATTCCATCTGCAGGACAAATATAGTCAATTGTATTTGCAATGGAATATAGTACATTCCATTGGGTTATAAATGAAGTAAATTCCATTGAATCCAGTATCACGAAATCATATTATAAAAGATGATGGTAATATATACAGAAAAAATGGAAACTAAAAATTAATTATGTTCCAGATGTGAAACAATACGAGTAGTATCTAACCAAATTAACATTTCCTATTAACTACATATGAAATATGAGTATAAACAACTTCAGGAAGTTTATTTATAGCAGACTGTTGTATTTAGTATATAAAATAGCAAACATGATAAGTAAATGTATACTTTATTTAATAACTACATATGAATTTAAATATACTTAGATGTGTGCGTATATATGAATTTATATTTCCAGGAATGACAAATGTCTTATTAGTATTTGGCTTAATATATGCAGCTGTAGGCTGTCTAAAAATCACAATAGATAGTTAATCCCCCATCAAACACCGATGATGGAAGTTACAACCTGACGACTTCCAGAAGACTACAATTTGAGGATTTTCACGTAGAAGGCTACAATCTGACGACCTTCACGACAACTGATGAAAGCTCTAATTCAACAGCATTCACAATCAACATCGGGAGTTACAATCTGACGACTCTCATATTTTCAAGGAGCCAAGACGAAGATTACAAGAGGACTGTAGTGCAAAGCTCTGGCAAAAGAGACTACAAATTGACGGTCTCTTCATATTAGAATGCAGATATCTCTCAAACCGTAAGGAATTTGGCGAAATGGAGGAAGCGAACCAAAGCCTTTAGCTTGGTTCGGATAGTCCCGTCTCGTCGAGATAGCCGATTTTCATATATAATTCGTCTAATTCCGACTTACGGTTTGAAAGTTATGACATGTTCTTCGTAGCAAGTTATGCTCTGAAGTCCGTCTGCAAGACTGGACTCCGTCAGAACATTGAACTTAGTCTGAAGCTCGCCAAGCCCGCCTAAGGTTCGCCTCTGCATTACAGAGTCAAAGCGCACATGCTCAACTCTGCGTTTTCAACATCAAAACGCAGAGTTAATCGCTAAAACAGCACAACTGTGCGTTTTCAGCCCTAAAACAGGCTCAACTCTGCGTTTTTAACATCAAAACGCAGAGTTAATCTCTAAAACAGCACGAACTGTGCGTTTTCAGCCTAAAACAGGCTCAACTCTGCGTTTTTAACATCAAAACGCAGAGTTAATCTCTAAAACAGCACCAACTGTGCGTTTTCAGCCTTTAAACTGGCCCAACTCTGCGTTTTCAGCGTAAAACGCAGAGTTCATCTCTAAAACGCATGCGGCCTGTGCGTTTCGACTCCCAGCGAGCGCCCAACTCTGCGTCTCATCTTTAAGACGCAGAGTTAAGGTCCAAACGCAAGCGGCCCTTGCGTTTTCAACTCCCAACAAGCGCCCAACTCTGCGTCTCATCAATAAGACGCAAAGTTAAGGCCCAGAACGCTGTTTTCAGCGTTTTGACTTGTTCAAAGCACGCAATGAACAGTTCCAGGAACTGTTTTTCCCCACGATTTGAGGGATTTTCGCCCCACTTAAGAGCGGATTAAGGGGGTAGTTACCACCCTTAATCCCCTATAAATACCAGAAACTCAATTGAGTTAAGGGATCGAATTTTTTCTCATCAACAGGAGGAGATTCGGTCAAAAGGCTGGCTTTTGCTCTGGGGCTCTTGGATCCTTTTCTTGGGGAGGGAGCAAAGGAGAGATCTTTGGCTAACTTTGGAGGGGAATTGTTGGAGTTTTGGAGACCAGCAACAGGAGCTTCTTCCTTGGCTTGTTAACCGAACTTTCGGTTTAAATCAACTCTTCCATAGAGTTTCAAACTCGTTCAGAGTTATCAACTCGATCAGAGTTCAAAACTTGCTCTGCAAGTTCTTCTAAAACTCGTTCAGAGTTATCAACTCGATCAGAGTTCAAAACTTGCTCTGCAAGTTCTTCTAAAACTCGTTCAGAGTTATCAACTCGATCAGAGTTCAAAACTTGCTCTGCAAGTTCTTCTAAAACTCATTCAGAGTTATCAACTCGTTAAGAGTTATTTTCAAACTTGCCACGCATGTTCTCCACAGCGTCAAATCGTGAGGAGAAGATCACGTTCCAGTGAATCAAGACGTTCGGATCGTCAACGAGAAGCAAACTCGACGCGAGCATTCGAGGGAGGCATCTCATCGCCACCGTGAAGAACCCAGAATTAAATAAAGGGGAGAATCAAATTCATTCTCCTCTCTTTTGTAATCGGAATCCAAATTGTAATCGATTTTGAGAGGAATACAAGTCAATTTTTCTTTCATTGTCTTTTTACTACAAATTTCCAACAAACAGCAGCCGTATACACTGTTGAATTTCAGAAAAGAGGATTGTCACATGCACATATCTTGCTATGGTTGCATCCTAATAGCAAATATCCAGATTCGAATGATATTAATAAGATAATCAGTGCTGAGATTCCGGATAGAGAAACTGATCCAGTAGGATATGCGGCGGTTGGGCAATATATGATGCATGGTCCCTGTGGCATATTTAATACAATCTCCCCATGTATGAGAGAGGGAAATTGTTCAAAACACTTTCCAAAGAAGTATGTCAATGAGACTGTAATTGATGAGTCGGGTTTTGCTGTATACCGGCGAAGGAATGATTATAATAGATGGGTAGATAAAAATGGTACAAAGTTGGACAATGCTTATGTCGTACCTTATAATCGGTACCTTATTGTTAAATATCAATCTCACATTAATGTTGAATGGTGTAATCGCGGACATACTCAGAATTTCCTTCACATTTTGTTTGGTTATCTGATGAGAAACGATGGAAAATCAGAGAAAAAGGTCGTAGTATTGGCAGGGTTGTTTATTCTCATCCAACTTCAGGGGAGAGATTTTACCTCAAGTTGCTTCTAAATGTTGTAAAAGGTCCAACATCCTTTGATGACATAAAAACTAAAGATGGAATACTTTACCCAACATTCAAAGAAGCATGTCAAGCTTGGAGATTACTAAATGATGACCAAGAATGATCGACGGTATGTTTTGGATGAGGCTTCTTATGTTGCTTCTGGAAAACAATTTAGGCAATTGTTTGCCAAATTATTATTGTTTTGTGAAGTTGTGAACCCACAAATATTATGGGAAAAATACTGGAAGTATATGGCTGAAGGTATTATGGAAGATCAAAGAAATATTCTTGACATGCCTACCTTAACAATGACAGAAGAGGAACTTCAAAGTCATACTTTAGCAAAAATTCAATATTTCTTGATTGAAAATGGAAAAGGCTTAAAAAATTACAAAGGGATGCCTTTACCAGATCTACATATAATGTAACAATGCAAACACAAGATTATTAGCGAAGAATTAAATTTTAATAGGGATGAGTTAAGATGTGAAAATGAGAAGTTTCTTCAAGGAATGAACACTGATCAGAAAGTTATATATGACACCATAATTGAGTCTGTGTGTAAAGAACAAGGAGGATTATTTTTCATATATGGGCATGGAGGAACCGGAAAAACATATATTTGGAAATCAATTATATCTAAATTAAGGTCAGAAGGAAAAATTGTATTGCCAGTTGCATCATCAGGGATAGCATCAATTTTACTTCCAAAAGGCAGGACCGTACATTCTAGATTTAATATTCCCATCATTCTGAAAAATAATTCGACTTGTGGAATCAAAATAGGTAGTCCAGAAGCTGAATTAATTAAGATGACAAGTCTTATAATCTGGGATGAGGCTCCAATGGTCCACAAATATGCTTTTGAAGCTGTCGATAGAACATTAAAAGATATATTAGGGGCAGAATGTTCTAAAAATGTAAACAAACCTTTCGGAGGAAAGACAGTTGTTCTTGGAGGCGACTTCAGACAAATACTTCCGGTTATTCCAAAAGGATCTAAACATGATATTTTACACGCTTCAATCAATTGTTCATATTTATGGAAGGACTGTAAAGTTTTAACACTTACTAAGAATATGAGAATTCAAACACAAGTGAGTGAAAGTAATACAATGTCTACCTCTGACTTTAGTAAGTGGGTACTTGATATTGGAAATGGATCTAACGTGTTTAAGAAAAATGGATTTCATGATCAGGATTTGGTAGTTGAGATACCAGATAATTTTAAAATTCATGCGAATGGTAATCCAATTGAGGAGGTTATTTCGTCTACATATCCTAGATTGATGCAGAAATACTCAAATGAAGAATATTTAGAGGAAAGAGGAGGTTATTTCGTCTACATATCCTAGATTGATGCAGAAATACTCAAATGAAGAATATTTAGAGGAAAGATCTATACTAACAGCAAGGAATGAAGTTGTTGACATAATTAATAGTGAAATTCTTAACATTGTTCCGGGGGAGTACATTACATATCTAAGTTCTGATTCTATTTGTCCCACATCGCCAAATCTTGCAATCAATGAAATATTATATCCAACAGAATTTCTAAATTCACAGAAATTCCCTGGGATGCCAAATCATGAAATTAAACTTAAAGTCGGAACTCCTATCATGCTTTTGCGTAATCTTAGCCCGGCAGATGGTCTTTGCAATGGTACGAGATTAGTTATCACACAACTTCTTAAATGGATAATAGAAGCTAGAATAATAAGTGGAAGTAATATTGGATCAAAGCATTTTATATCCAGGATAGATATGACCAATACTGATTCCAAGTGGCAATTTCATATGAAAAGAAGACAATTACCGGTAAGGACATGTTTTGCAATGACCATTAATAAAAGTCAAGGTCAAACTCTAAAGCATGTTGGATTGTATCTTCCAAAATCATGTTTTACACATGGCCAGAGAAGTTTTCAACAATCTAACTGCAGGTAATATGTCAACACTATGTAGTTCAACTATATTGTCAACCATGAAACTTTTAATTTTTTTTCAAGACATATGCATACTTTTATGATGATTACAATGAATGAATTTTATACATAACTGTGATTTTAGGATATATTATAGCTTCAGTCTTTTTACCAATATTTTTTGAACTTCTCATCTTGCAGTTAATAATCAGACAGAATGTCAATAATTAGCTATATAGCAATAAAAGATTTAGAGCTTACTACTAAAGATCAAGTAATCAAGGCGAGGGTTACCAGGTTATGGGAGAACATCAATCCAATCTCTAAACAGATATATGGATTACAACTAATACTGGTAGATGAAAATGTAAGTTGCGTAGTCTAAAATCTATTTGCTATTATACAATTAAACTCTGATACATATAGCATGTGATTTTCTATTTTATATTCATGGAGAATTTTAAATTTACTAATCTGTGGTATTTATTATTATCAAGATGATGACGTTCAAGGGAACATAAAAGCAACTGAGATATCTAGGTTCAGACCAATGATAGAGGAAGGGAGGATTCATGTTATTTCTAAGTTCAAAGTGATAACTGCGTATGGTGATTATCGAGCAACTCAGAACGATTACTTTGTATGCTTTGTTAGACAGACTGAGATTAAAGTTCTACAAGATGATGATGAGCAAATCCTGAGACACAAATTTAAATTTAAAGAATACAGTGAGCTTGGACAATATCTAGGAAGACGTACATATCTTTATGGTAAGGTCTTGAACAATTTTAATATATATATTTATTTCTTTGATAAGTTTGAAAAAATACCTAATAAATGTATTAATAAAATACAAATTTCATAGATGTTGTAGGAATTGTGAAGGATATTTACCCATTGGAAGATTCTAATACTGGAGGGAAAAGACAAACTAGAAGATCGCTAAAAATTATTAATGATATGTAAGCGTTGTATACATTTGAATTTATAATGGATTCAAACATCACTTTAAATCATGGCTGCCTTTTGAATTTTCTTAAAGGGGCGAGGAATGTACAGTGACATTATGGAACAAAATTGCAATTGATTTAGAAGAACATGCTCAACAATATAACCCAAATAATATGGTTATGATAAATATTGGAATATTTGTAACAAATTTTCAAGGTAATGAGCACGTAACCTTACTATCCATTCATCTTGAAATTTGCAGCAGCTTGGTTAACGTTTGCAAATCTAATTATGCATATCTTAGTAATCGTATAACAAAAATTCATTGAGTGTATATCGCAGGAAATAATACAGTTTCTTCTAGCAGCGCGTCGAGAGTATATATCAACATTGATGTTCCAAAGGTGAAAGATTTATCTCAGAGGTATGTGGAGTAGTTGAAGAGATTACACTATAAACAGGATAGCAAATGTTGTACATTTGCATTATTTTGTATGTATGAATAATTTTCTTTCATCAAAGCATTGCACCTAAGGAATTCTAAACTAAATTTATCATCATCTAGAAATCTCAATGACAGTGAGGAATCGCTGCAAATAATTCCTACACCAGTCAACTTCTCAGCAAATCAACCAGATCTTACCAGAGCAACAAATGCCACATTGAATGATTTACTTTTCTTCAATGACCCTGGGACTTCTAATGTAAATTTGCATTATATAATGAGTTACGTTCTATGATTATGTTTCATCACTGATTTATATTACTTATCTTAGAAATTATTTTGCAATCATTACAGGAATATTATTTCATTTGTGAAGTGATTATCACTGGTATTATTAAGTATATGAAATGGAGATATAGTGGTTGCCCTGGTTGTTCAAAAAAAACCTTAATATCTGGAAATTCATTCTGGTGCGAAAAATGTAACAAACAAGTCATGGCTCAAAACTGGTAATATAAGATATTATATACTCGCATATCAAGTTATATAATAGTTTCATAATCATGAAATGTAATGAATATTTGTATGATCTGCAATTATAAGATAACACTAGAGGTCGAAGATTATTCAGCTGTTTCCACAATAACATTATTCAACAGAGAAGCTGAGAAATTGTTTAAGGTTTCTGCTGATGAAGTGGCCAAGAATTTGGTGAAGGTAATTACATAAACTTCTTTATTAGATTTGATCATCTAATTTTGTCTAGAATCTATAGGTATCTCTTTTTCATTTCATGACATCGTATTTTGATGTGATAACAGATTAAAGGAAGGAAAGTTTTTCCATCATTGTTTAAAGGGATTGTGGGTAAGAAAATTAAAGTTCAGATTAAGGTAACAAAATACAATTACATTGAGGGTAACGAAGGATTCACAGTTATGAAACTGATAGAAGACTTACACGACACAAATAAAGAAGCTACAATGATAATGCACCACAGGTTTAAATTCTTAAATCATAGAATGGTAAACAATTCATTTATCATTCTAATTCTAACTTATCAATTATTAATTCTAATTAGGATGTGTTTGCCCCTCAAGAATCTCCTGTTAATAGCCTTACTGAAGAAGGACCACCAGCAACTCTAACAACTCCATTGATTGCTATTACAAATTCAGATTTGAGAAACAATACTAACATAATGATACCAAAGATTGAGAAGGTCATCAACAATAATTCGGTTGAAATTAACAAAATTGAAGTGGAAGAAAAGACGGGTAGTACCGAGCAGTTCAAAGTACCAATGCAGGAAGGTAAAATATCATTCTTCATATTTGTAATGATGAGAATTATTTTACAATAGTAACTAATATGTTCAAATGTAAACTAATGATTCAACTTCAATGTTCTTAATGTAGGAAATAAGAAAAGAAGAACCAATAGAAGCAGTGGAAAAGAAAACTAACTTCTGGAGGACTTGACCACCACTTTGAGGAGTTATCAAACATAGTTTAGTGGTCATATTTGTGTTGCTTATGTTTAATCATATTATGTATTTGTGCTTATGAAAAGGTTTAAGATGTATGTTGTAACTTAATTTGGATACTTTTGTTAAATGTAATTGCAATAGATTACTTATTTTTTATCTGTATATGTAAAACATTTGTTGTTTTATTCAATAATT